ATCCCAGGACCCTGGGATCATGACCTGAGCCAAAATCAAGAGTTGGATGCTCAACCTACCGAGCCACCCAGGCGCCCCCGGGCAAAGAGCTTTGCGACAACCAGAGTGTGCATCCTGAGGGGTGGAGGGGGGTGTTGCTGTCCTGGAGGCACCCCGCGGTGTGAGAGCAGCGCCGCAGGGACATGTGCCTGCTCTGTGTTATCTGATCTAGCCAGTCTTGGAGTCCTGGGGGCGGTAGCCTTGCCTTCTGCGCCTTTACTGAATGGACTGTGTCTCCTTTCAGATACCCCCGGCCCATCTCCTCCAAGACCCATAAGGAGGCAGAACATGGTCCCCAAGCCAGATGATGGTGTCAGATGCCTTGAGTCCACCATACAGGCCTACTGGGGGAATCAAAGCCTTGTTTTCACACCATCCTTCACCCTGGGGCCAGGATGATGGAGAGGAAAACAGACATCTTCCAAGGCAGTGGCGGGGCGGGGCGGGGTGGGGCAGGGTGCATCCTCCCCAGTCAAACTTCCTCTTGTCCCAACACGATGGCAGAGAGGGAGGCAGACACACAGCATGGAATCCCCCCACCCATGAGCAGTACCTCGAGGCAAGTGCAGACCCCCAGGGTGCTAGGCCATGATCCGTGGGGTAGTCTGCTGTGCTGGGGAACACAGGGACTGAGGACTCACTGGGCTGTGCTCCCCAAAGCAAGATGGCCCCCACTCCCTGGGTGGGGGAGTGGGGGCCATGGCGGACTTGGAACTCTGGACTGCTTTTGTGCTGTTTGCAGTTGCTTGTTTATTTCCCAGGATCCAGACAAGGCTCACAGAATTAAGGAGCGGGGCAGTGGCTTCTGGAGATGACCTCACCCAACGTTCTTATCCTATAGCTCTGGACGCCAAGGCCCAGTGCAGGGCACGCAAGCTGACAAGCCCAGGATGCAGAGAAATCTCCTGGGGCCCGGGGAAGGGAACTATGTGCCTGCTGAGGAGAGGAGGGGCGCCAGCATACCGGGGAGGGAGAAGATTCTGGGCCCCCCTGACAAGGGGTGGTTCCTGTCCTGGAGTTGGTGGGGAATTGAGGAAGCTGACCTGCTCTGTGCCCTGCTCCCAGCCCCACCAGCCCCCAGGGAATCTTCCCGACCCTTAGTCACTGGAGAAGCGAGCACATGGAGATGCTCAGCGTTTCCTCCTTTCACGGGGCAGGTGACGGGTTGGGGGAGATGGGGTTGGGGAGGTAACACACACTCCAGCGGCCGGCTCCCGCCTTGACCACTAGCTCCAGGATGCAGGAAGCCCTGCAGACAGACGGGAAGAGGCTGGTGTCCCCTCTCAGCTCGATTTCGGGTAAATCTGTCCTCTCTCTGAGTCGGCCCCCAAAGACGCGGCCAAGTCCAGGAGTAAGCGACCAGAGCCATCAGCAGCTCTCCTTTGGGGCCTTCTTGGCTCCGGGGAGGAGCCTCGAGGTCGCTGACGTGCGCTTCTGGTGTCGCCACTTGGCCCGGCGGTTCTTGAACCAGACCTGAGGAGCAGGAAGCACCGCTCAGGCCCTGCCCCAGGCCCCGCGTACCCCCCCGCCACCCCATAGGTGGACCAGGCGGGGTGCTTCCCGATGGGGATGTGGGCAGACGAGGGCTGCGGGGCCGGCACGCGGCAGCGGCACCCACCAGCTCTTAACCGCTGCAGGTAGGCGCTGCGGCTCGGGCCGCGGGGACGAGAGCCCCCTTCCCACCCGGACCAGCCATCTCTCTGCACGCCTTCCCACCCCCCACCTCCGCCCGGCGGTGCCCCGGACGCCCCTTCTGCAGCTTCCTGCCCTTTCCAAGCTTCCCAAATTCTGGCACATGAACGCGCGCCTCATTAGTCAGGGAAAATAAAAAAGTTTAAACCAAAGGACAACTAGCCTTACCTCCCTTCCAGTTCCAGGGACACTTTCCCCGCACGTGCCTGTCCCCGCCCGCCCCCCGGAACCGGCCCTGCGCCCCACAGCGGTCCCCGGGCCCCTGGCGCCTCCTCCCATCGCGCCAGGGCCGTCTTTTCAAGAAAAGAAGAAGGAAGGAAGCCAGCCTGCTCGGCCCCTCGGCGGTCCCGCGGGCGGGCACCCACCTCCACGCGCTCCTCGCGCAGGCGGATGCGGCCGGCCAGGCGCTCGCGCGTGCCCACGTCGGGGTACTGGTTCTGCACGAAGAGCGCCTCCAGCGCCTGCAGCTGCTCCTCGCTGAAGATGGTGCGGTGGCGCCGCGTGCGCCGCTGCGGGCCGGGGCCGGGGCCGCCCGCGC